ATCAAAAAATTAAAAAATAAAAATTCGAAAATCTAAAATTTAAAAATCAAAAAACTGAAAAATCGACAAATTGAGAAATCAAAACTCCAGAATTTAAAACATTGAAAAATCGGACAACTGAAAAATCGAAACATCGAAAAATTCAAAAACTGAGATATCGAGAAATCGAAAAATCAGAGGATCGAGAAATCGGGGAGTCGAAAACCAAGAAGAAAAGTTAAAATTGAAAAATTGCTGAATCGAGAAATGGAACAATCCAAAAATTTTTTAAAAGAATTGGAAAACCGAAAATTTAAAAATTCGGGAAATTGAAAAATTTAAATATAGAAGAATTGAAAACTCAAGAAATCCAAAAATCTAATTTTAAAAATTGAAAAATTTAAACATCGAAAAGTTGAAAAGTTGAAAAATCGAAGTATAAAACAGTCTAAAAATTTAAAAATCTAAGGTTTGACGAAAAATTGAAAATCCAAAACTGAAAGAAATATCCAAAAAATGAGAAATTAAAAAAAATGGATAATTGAGAAATCGAAAAACTAAAAAACAAAGTCGAAGAATCGTAAGCTTAAAAAACAGAAAAATTGAAAAATCAAAAATCTGAAAAATCGAAAAATTGAAGCATTGAAGAAGTGAAAAATCGACACTTTAGGAAGTCGAGAGATGGGAAAATCAAAAAAAGATTAATATAGAAATCGGAAAACTTAAAATTTAGAAACGTCAAAATTTGAAAAATTGAAAAATCGAAAAATTGAGAAATCGTATGATCGAAACATCGGAATATTGAGAAATCTAAAAATAAAAAAATCGAGGATTCTAAAATTTAAAGAATGGAAAAGTTGAAAAAGTGCAAAATTCAAATATTGAAAAATTGAAAAGTTGAAAAATCGGGAAATGGAAAAGCCAAAAATTCTCAATAGCGCATTTATAAATCACAAGTTCAGGATTATGCTACTTTTTAACATTTAATAACATTTATTCAACAAAATTGTAAGAAGACATATCAACTTCTGACTAATAAATCTTGACTAAGAATTTAACATGCTTCCAAGGACTATAAATTGGAAAATGTCGATTTTTTTGCAAAAATCTTGACGTTTAAGTTAAAAACTCAACACGGACCATAAAAGAAGGATATAAAATTTAAATTACATCTACTATTGAAAAGTTTGCCGCTTAGAGTCGACATTGGCCTGAGTGCCCTCTGGTTTGTAGATCAAACAAATTCCCAGGCGACGATCTACGTAGTCATGACACTGTTTACTTCTGTCTTTGTTTTGTGAAAAAGCTCAATTTAATTCACCTCCGGCATTTTGTACAATAAACGATGAATCCTGTTGAAGATTTGCCTCTAGACGTAGAAGAAGTGGCATAAAAAGTGGTTTTAGACCTACTTCAGACAAAATCTCAAGAGATTTATGAGTGAGCATACGAGCGTTTCCTAAAATATTTTGCGAGGAAAAAACATTTAGACTTATTCAGAATTAGAGATTTTTTAATCCTCGGATTAAAAATTAATGGTGCCGTAGTAAAACAACTTTTTTTCTCAGATACAAAAACGTCTATTTTATTTTTCAAAATTGGTGTACAAAATGGCATATTGTAAGATGAAAATAGTTATTAGATGTATATGAAACTTAACACAAACATATTAATCAAAAAAAAATTTCAAATATGTACAATTTTGAATAGAAATTTTGATTTCAATTCTGACTTTAGTTAATTCCAGTAGCAACGAATAGATCAGTTAAGAATTTAAAAAGTTTACATTTAAAATGAACAGTCAATAATTATTTTCAAAATTCAGAGAGAAAGCTTTTTGCTAAGAAGATGTCGTATTGTTCATAAGTTTTCCGAACAGTCTGATCACGTCAATCAAGTAGGTTAGCACAAGTTGATCAGAGTGGTGTAGGTCACTTTTCGGGTGGCATAGGAATAAATGGTCGGCGGTCACGCTAACGACATGTAGTAGACGAATCTGGACCTGAAGATCTCGAAAGTCGCTTTATTTTATCTTCCAAGCATTAGTTGAACTTGATCTTTCTTCTTACAAAAAGGCTTTAAGTATTGGGCATTGCCTTATTGGATTAGATCCCTGTTCAATCTATTGTAAATTTGAAGCTCCGCATTGTTTTAATTGCAACGGTTACAACCATTCATCCAAGTCGTGCAAGAACAGAATCTCCTGTCCTCGATGTGGTGAAGAGCGTCGTGTTAAAGACTGCAATGCTAATAAACTTTGTTGTGTCAACTGCGTAAACCTGAAGTCAAAAACCAATCAAGAAGACATAAATACTGAACATGCAGCATGGGACATCAAAGTGTCGTTTGTCAATACATTGTTGATAAACTGAAACATGATGTGTTTGGCATTGGCATATAGCAATCAATTCCTCTTCAACATGATCTTTCTTTTCATAATTTTTCTTCCGAAATAACGTTTAGTATTTACTGTCAAAATGTACGCGGTTTGAGGACTAAAGTTCACAGCTTTTATCCTGCTGCTACTAATTGCGTCGTTTTTCGTTGTGATAGCAAATGTTTACTAATCAACAAACAACGTGGAGGAGGTGTACTTGTTGCTTTAAAAAGTAGACTGAATAAAGAAATGTTTAATTTAAATGAAATCATCAATGCCATACCTTCTATTGATATTGTTGACTGTAAAGTCAGACTAGGTCCTCAAATCATTCTTTATATAATAATCGTTTATATACCGCCAAATCTTTTTATAACTGATTTCGAATATTTCTTTGAACTTGTGTATCTTTATATTACCGACAAAACACAAATCTTAATAAAGGTGACTTCAATGTTTCAAATTGGAATAATTTAAGTATAAACGTCTCAAAATCTAAATTAATCAATAATTTCTTATCCTATAATGGCCTCAAATAGTGTAATCTTATATCTAATTCAAATAATCATATATTAGATTTAGTTATATCTAATGTTCCCTATAATGTTGTACATGATGATCATCCATTAGCCCGTGAAGATTTCCACCATCCGACTTTAAGTATTGATATGAATTTGAAAGTCCCAAAGGTTCAATTCCACAGCTTCTGCTTAAATGTAATTAATTAATTAATTAAAACTTGCTAAAATAGGACTGAACAATATTAAGAGTAGTCACTGGAATGAAGAAGGAGTGGGTGGGCGGGGCTATTGCTTGCTTATAAAAGATTCTGTAGGAAAAAGTTAAACTTGGCCCCGCCCACCCACTCATTTTGTCTTCAAGTAGTATAACAAAATAATTAAGTAAAACTTGCTAAAATAGGACTGAACAATATTAGGAGTAGCCAATAATTAATTAATTAATTTTCCAGTAAATGTGAAGTATAAGGTATACAATTTTAAGAAGGCAAATTTTAGGGCGTTGTTATATTGGCCAAGCTTACCAGAATTTCACAAATGTCAATGATGCTTGTTCTCATTTTTATTCAATCTTGTACTATTTTTAAGACCCAAAAGTCAATTGGTATAGCATTGAAATAGTTAAGAATATTAAGTTAAAGCATAAATACCTACAGCAATTATTCAAAAAAGCAGGTAACGTAGAGCAACTGAATAAATTTAAATGCCTGCGGTTTTTAATTAAGTCTCAAGTATTTCTTGCATACAAGTTATATCTTGACACAGTCTAGGTTAAGTTAAATACTGATCCAAAATATTTTTGTAAATATGTCAACGACAAAAAAATGTAACAAGAATTCCAGCTGTTACGTACTATGACAATAATACTTACTCTACCCCAGAACCAATAGTTAACGGATTTGCTACATGTTCTAGTAGTGTTTTTACTACTAGCAATAATTCGACGGATCATATTGACACAGCTTCCTTTCTTAGTGTTAATATAATGAATATTTCTGAATATGATATTAAAAATGCCATAAAAAAATTGAAAAAAAAAGTAACCGTTGGTGACGATCAGATACCTAGTTTTTTTGTTAAAGATTGTTCTTCTTTGCTTCTTCAACCACTGAAGACATTATTTAACCTATCTCTTTCGACTTCTACTTTTCCAGAGGTATGGAAAATAGCACGTGTACGCCCTGTCCTAAAAGGTGGTGATGCATCTTTATTTACTAACTAGCTGACCCCGTGAACTTCGTTTCACCTACAACTTAATTTTGAATCTGCAAACCGAATGCTTTGAAATCTTGCAAATGTTTTAAACATCTGATAAGCATAATAAATTTTTATTCAAAATAATACTTACTTCCTCCAAAAGATTGATGACGTCAGCCCAAAATTTTGCCAAATGAATCCTAAAATAGGATGAGACTATACTTGTGATTTATCATTCCATTCAGTTTATTTTATTGATTGAATCAAGAATTGCAAAACTAAATTTTTAGATTTATTGCAGACGTTTTAAAGTTACTGTTTGACATGGAGTTGCAGAAATGACATAATTAATATAATTCATAATGTTTAAATATGATAACTATTAATATGTGATAATTAAACCGAAAACCATTTTCTTAAGAACACGAGGTTAGCAAAAACAAATTAGTTTGTCTAAACATTGTTAAATTAACCCCGAACATGTACAATTTCTGAGCGAAAATATGAAAAATAATTTTTGCAATCTCATCGTGACGTACGATGACGCCACTGTCACGTGAGCCACCTGGTAAAAGGTCACATTTTTCAGTCCTCTGCGTTTAGTTTTGATTTCGGTTTGGTGGCAGCAACATCAGAGTCCGTTTTGGCTTAAAAGTAGGGCTCTTTTCACGAATTTCTAATTTATATATTTAAATATTAGTGAAAATGTGTTGTATTAGTACTGTGAACACGAACAAAAATGGATATTTTTTCGAAAAGGACCGAAAACAGGGTAAGTTCGAGTTCAGTTTTAATTTATCGGATTCCGTGATTCACTCAACAATATTTAAATTTTGGGAAAATTTTCGAAACGATTGAAATCGGTTGATCAAAGCTATACATTTTCACGACATAAATAAATAAATTTTAAACGTCTGGATTCTGGATTCTTAAATTATGGGGGCTGACCGTAGCCAGCCGGCACTTAGGCCTCGCCTTTGGGCCCATTGTACCTTCCCCAAGTCCATATCAGGGTGTTTTCCCGCTCCTCTACTCGTCAAGCCACCCAACTGCTTGAATGTACTTGAGTAATGCAGAGGGTGGAAACTCCCTGATATTTGCCATACTAGGCCAGATGTCCCCTAGTATGGATTCCCTGTAGGAGGCTAGGGCTGGACACTCACGAAGAATGTGCTCAGCTGTTTCCTCTTCTTCATTGCATCCACGACAGATTGGGTCTGTTACCACCCCTATCGTATGTAGATGTTTGTTAAACTGGTAATGTCCCGTAAGGAATCCTACCAGTTTACGCAGTTTGTCCCTTGAAAGTGAGAGATAAAATTTCGTCAACTTACGGTCTGGTGTCGCCATACAAGCTCTACTATGCCGACAGCTGCTCAATTTCACCCATATCTGCTCATGGCGTCTCTGGGTATATTGCTTTACGAGTTCGTTCGAGAGGGCGACCGAAGGCGTGATTGCCGGTTCGGGTCCCCAGAAGGGCATGCGCGCGGCTCGCTTCGCCATCTCATCTGCCCTCTCGTTTCCTTCGTTGCCACTGTGTCCTTTGATCCAACAAAGTTCCACACTATTCCTCTGCGTTACATACTTTAGCGTTTGTCTGCACTCCCAAACCAGCCCGGATCGAACCATACAGCTGTCCAGGGCTAGTAGTGCAGACTTGCTGTCAGTAAGTATGCGTATTGATTTGTTGCCGATTTCACGTTCAGCAATGATTCTAGCTCCCAGCATTATTCCCATCAGTTCTGTTTGTAAGACAGACGTGTGGGTGCCGAGAGGTACACTGATTTGTGCGTTCAGTTGTTCGGAGTAGATGCCAGCTCCTGAACCACTATCTGTTTTGGCACCATCGACATAGATTTCTATGTCGGCTCGTCCTTCTGAATTATCATTCATTGATATTCTATATGCCTTCTCATATATTAATTTTGTGCCCATTCGGTCACACCCCATCCTTAACAAGGGTATTCTGTTGAACGCCTCCGTTAAGATCCGAGTGTGCTTCGTTGTGCGGCCTTGCTTGTTCCATACTCCCAGAGAGTGAAGTCTTAGAGACGTCGTCATTGCCGCTTCCTCTATGTAAAGGTTAAGAGGTGCTAAGCAAAGAAGAGTCTCCAGAGCCGCTGTGGGAGTGGTCCTCATTGCTCCTGTAACACTGAGACACGCCATTCTCTGAACGTGTTCAAGTTGCAGGGCTGTTGTTTTTTGTCTGGCTCTGGGCCACCAAACTAAAGCTCCATAGCACAGCATCGGTCTGACTATTGCCGTGTAGATCCAGAGGGCGATCTTGGGATTTAAACCCCACGACCTTCCCACCACCCTACGACATTGCCAAAGAGCCGAGCGTGCCTTTTCTACTTTATCATCTACATGCTTCTTCCAATTCAGTCGCCAGTCCAATACAACTCCCAGGTATTTGACTTCGTCCGAAAGTTGGAGCGTTGTGTTAAATATTTTTGGCATCTGTAGTGTACCAATTTTCCTTTTCCTGGTGAACAGGATTAGTTTCGTCTTTTCTCCATTAACGGAGAGGGTATGTCTGCTGCACCATTCCTCGACTATTTTTACTGCAGCTTGCATTATCTCACATAATGTATCTGCGTTTTTTCCTGTTAGCAGAATGACTAGATCGTCCGCGTATCCAATTGTGTGGTAGCCAAGATCATTGAGGCGTCGTATCAGGCTGTCAACGACAGTATCCCACAGTACAGGAGAGAGAACTCCTCCCTGAGGACATCCCCTGTCTACAACAGCCTCGATCTCAGTGCCACCTACATTAATCATTACTTCCCTGTTCCTCAGCATACCGGCCACCCACCTACTTAGGGTAGGGTCCACGTCGTGCTCTCGTAGGGCTAGCTCTATGCTTTTGAAGGTCGTTTTATCAAACGCTCCTTCAATATCCAAAAACATTCCTAAGGTGAAGAGTTTGTTCTCCATCGCCCACTCTATACGGTTTACAACTGTGTGTAGGGCCGTATCGGTGGATCTTCCTTGGATGTAGGCATGTTGGTTCGGATGTAGAGGTTGCTTGCTCAAAGCAGTCTCCCGAATCTCTTTTTCGCTTAGTCTTTCTAGCGTTTTCAGCAAGAATGATGTTAAGCTAATTGGTCTGTAGGATTTAGCCAAGGTGTAATCTTGTCGTCCTGGCTTAGGTATAAAGATAACCTTTACTTTTCGCCATGCATTCGGTATGTAGCTGAAAGCCAGACACGCCCGAAGCATTGGCAACAAAATAGGGCGTAGTCTGCTCATTCCCCTCTGCAGGAGGGCGGGATAAATACCGTCAACTCCTGGAGATTTGTATGGGGAAAAGCTGTCCACTGCCCACTCCAGTCTTGCCTCCGTGACTACCTTTGCAGCCAGCGCCCAGTCCTTCGGGGAAGGTTGAGTACCGACTACATCCCTTTTGGAATGGGAGGTAGTCCTTGTGCTGCCTGGAAACATGGTCTGCAGCAAAAGTTCTGCGGACTCTTCTAAGGTGGCTGTAAAGGTGCCATCTTCTTTCTTTAGGAAACCTAGTTGATGTGTGTGGTCCTTCGAGAGAACTCTCTTCAGCCTTGCGGCCGAAGCAGTCGACGTTATGTCGCTGCAGAAGGATCTCCACGTTTCCCGTTTCCTCTTTCTTAATTCTTTCTTAAACTCTTTCCGGTGCTCTTTATAAGCTTCCCAGTCTTCAGTTTTCTTAGTGTTTTTTGCTCTATTGAAAAGTTTTCTTAGCCCCGATTGAAGTAGGCTGAGCCTTCGGTTCCACCATGGTGTACCTTTGCCCAGACCTTCCTTCTTTAGGGGGCAACTTTTCTCATACGCTGACATTAGAGAGTCGTTGATAATGGTCAAGGTTTTCTCTATGTCTTCTGTCGATCTGTATTCTATTGGTATAGACTGCACGAAGGTCCCCAGTCTGTCGTCCAGTTCTTCGTTGTATAAAGCCCAGTTCGTCAGCCTAGGGTTCCTGTACGTCTTTGCCTCCATGTCTATACATTTTGATGTATACATGATCCATCTATGGTCTGACACTGACGCCTCTTTGGAGACGTGCCATCCCATTATATATTGTGAGATATCCCATGTAGCCAGTGTAATATCTATTACTGACTGACTACGTGATGTTACGAAAGTTGGTTCGCAGCCTCGGTTGAGAATCTCTAGATTTGTTGATGAAAGATATTCAGCTAGTGTTTCTCCTCTATCATTAGTGTCTTTGCTCCCCCACAACAGACAGTGGGCATTCGCATCGGCACCGATGATGAGGTTTATATTTCCGGTATCACAGTGTTCCACCAAGTTCGCCATTTCCCATGTTGGACATGGTTCCTGTGCTCCCTGTGGTAAGTACACGGATGCTATTACCAGTTGCTCTTCGCCTCTTCCTATGTTACACTTAACATTTACCGCAGTCACATCCCTGGAGCTGACCTGAGGTAGGAGGACGGCTTTAATTTTCCTCGGAATGTAGACGCATGTCCTTGGAGATTCTATTGTGGTACCTGAAACAACAGTGCCATTTAAATTGCTCAACCCTGCGATCCTGGATTTTACAATCCATGGTTCTTGGATTATTGCTATAGTGTTCTGCATCTTGTCTAGACGACGACACAAAACAGTCGTCGCCATGCGACAATGCTGCAGGTTAATCTGAATGAAATTTATCTGCTGCAGCGCCATCTCTGCAACCAAAAATCCCATAATTGTTCTAGGAGACACGAGGCACATGTCTCAGGCGGGCCCGCCCCCACTGGTAGAGGCTTCACCCCCTGGGGTTTCTACCTCTTCCATAGGGGTCCGCCCTTCCTGAGCCGACACCTCGTTCTCCTTGAGTTTCAGGTTGAAAGAGGACAGCATATAATTGATTCTGCCCTCTCTCTCCCTGATTATCTTGGCCTCTTCCATCCCAAGACCAAACACAAAGAGGTTGCCTGGAGAGGCAGCCTCGGGTTTGGCCTCGCGATGGAAAAGAAGCCATTTTTTGACGTGGGCCCATTGGTTCTGACCCTCCAGGCGGCGAAGTACGACTCCTGCGTCCACCGGTGGTCCCGGTATCCACAGGGTCGCCCTCACCAGCCTTGGTAGCTCAGCCAAGGGGACCACGTTAAGTTGTGCGCCCTCCCACAAGGGTGTAAGGGAGCGCACTGTTTGTTGTAGCCATTTCAGGGACAACTCGTCTTCACAGGTTATCCTTAGGATTTCCCCTGTGTACTTCATGCCCCTGAAAGTGGCTGCTTGTCTACCCGATGCCAAGCACTGGTCAAGTTGCCTGTCCAGCGCTCCCATCAGGCTCTTTTGTACTATCTCCACCTGGTCAGCAGTCAGCTTACCAAGTGGATGCTGCACATCAATCACAGCTACACGGAGATGACTTGCAGCCGCCTCCCTGTAGCTCTGTTCTTTAGAGGTAGTCTCCTGCCTCCTCATCCTCTTTTGCTTTTCAGCTGCCGGAGGTGTGGAGGTTGAAGACCTCACTCTCTTCTTTGACCCTGAGGTCTTTTTCCCCGCAGGTTGTTTAGGGTTGGCTATCGTAGCCTGCCCTTTACCCTTGGGGTTTATCCCGGAGGAGGATGGACCCGGTTTCGGCGGGTCGGTATTCGCCGCCTCCGCCTGCAAACGAGCCTTCCTCCGCCTTTTTACCTCAGCCCCGCAGATTCGCTTCCTCCTAGGAGGCTGCGACCCCACATTGGCCGGGTTTTCTGTTTGAGGTGCACCCGAAGGCACTTCCTCAGTGGTTTTTTTATTATTTTTATTTTCCATGATCTGGATTTAGATTTCGTTCTCCTGCGTCCCCACCCACCACGGAGTCCAACAAGGGGACGTCGAACTTCGACGTCAGGGCTAGCAGAAGGATATAGCCCCCAGGGAAGCTCATCCTGCAGTACGCAGCCTCAACTAGTGAGGTTACTCGTGCTCAGACTACACTTCCCCCAAGGACTCACCCTGTCGGCGGTCTGACCCGACGACACAGCCGATTGATCTGAGATGGGTTAGTCTCGACCTCCCGTTTTGGTGGAAATCCAGGCCAAAGAGGCGTGTTGCCCAGCCTTGGTGACACACTGCACCAAGGGGGGCTCAACCTCCAGGATTCCTTCATCCCACCTTACGGGTCTCCACGCACGGCACAAACACGCGGGAGCTTGTCCGCGGGGCTGTTTTGACGACCCCACACCAGGGGTTTAATCCCGGGGGGGCACGTTTATTTCCAGCCCTCCTCTACTGAACCGCCTTCGCGGCCGTCTAAGCCGACAACCACCAAGGCATGTCCAGGCAAGACGAGCCTCAGCCCTAACCTACATATCTGGAGAAGGGAAAAAAAAAAAAATCCAGGTCGGACTTCCACCACCCCCAGGAGTGTTTAGTTCCGGGGGGCATATCCGCCCTCCCCAGACCTCCCTTCCCCAGACAATGCCGGTCTCCCCCTATCCGCAACCCTGGGGACGCGCCTGATAGGTAGCTCAACACACAATATTAGTGAAAATGTGTTGTATTAGTACTGTGAACACGAACAAAAATGGATATTTTTTCGAAAAGGACCGAAAACAGGGTAAGTTCGAGTTCAGTTTTAATTTATCGGATTCCGTGATTCACTCAACAATATTTAAATTTTGGGAAAATTTTCGAAACGATTGAAATCGGTTGATCAAAGCTATACATTTTCACGACATAAATAAATAAATTTTAAACGTAATTAATATCATTTATAATGTTTAAATATGATAAGCATCAATGTATGATAATTAAATCGAAACCCGTTGTCCTACAAGCCCGAAATTATTAAAAACAAATCAATTTGTTTAAGCAATGTTAAACTATCCCCGAAAATGTGCATTTTAACGGCCAAAATATGAAAAATAAATTTTGCAATCTCATCGTGACGTACGATGACGTCAATGTCACCTGAGCTACTTGTATAAATGTC